AGCCAGCCATGCTGGCTGGGGAATTCTGGGAGTCGAAGTCCCCACGTCTTCAAGTGGCCAAGGTTGAGAAACACTGACATATGCTAAGCCCAGGTCAGCAACATTTATGTACTGACTCCCAGCTCCAAAAGAAAATAACATCCACAATGTTGTGTTTTCATTTTTATCCAAGCTTCCTTGTGAGATTTGGGTGATTTTCAAGAATTCTGCTTTTTTTCTGGGACCATATCTCGAGGTCTGGCAGGCTGCTGACCTCTGTGTTAAACAACAAACCATGATTGGAAACCACAGTGGCTGAGTTCACACACCACACTGTGCTGAACTAAGGCGAACGTCTTAGCGTGGCAATGGCCCTGTATTGTTGGAACCCTTCACTCTATCCATGATGTTATTTCAGACTCCTGATAATATAATAATAAAGAAAAATGGAAGACTTGTTTCCTTTCCTGGCTTAAAACCTCTGAGTAAAAACCTCTGAATCCCTGATGCAATTTCTATAGGTCTTGCACGTACAGGAATTGTGAGAAGGGTAACTGTTTTGAAATGCTCATTTGCAATGGGTTTTGCAACATGCCTCACTTCTCAAGGCTGCTTATTTCAAAACCAAGAGAACGTGCTGGATCTCATAACAGCAGTAAAACAAAAAAACCCCACCGTTTTGACCGTTATCTGTGCATCTCTGTTCATGCCCAAGGATTTAAAAGGGTGAATTGGGAAGTTTCGCACCATTCACAGGCAATTCTGGAATAACTACCCCTATTAAATTTGAGATATTTTTTCAGAGCTGTGATAGCAGCAACATTTATCCATGGAGTAACGTGGCATCTGGTGAGCCAGCAAGAGTCACAGAACTGGAGAGAGACTTGGAATGTAACTGCATTCTCATGACAATAAAGAAAATGCTTTAAACAGAGCCAGCATTCTAGTCAAATTCTAGAAACTCTGGTGGGGCAAGTAGCAAAGAGATTTGAATACCATAATTAAGTTGGCTGAAGGGGTAATAGTACTTAGAAACTGTATCTGTTGATGCAACCTAAAATTGCATTTAACTTTTTTGCAGCCACATCACACACTTATATCCTCCTTGCATTCAACTACTACTCCGAGATCTTTTTCACAAGTCCTCTTACCTAGCCAAGTATCCTCTATTCTGTTTTTGTGCATTAAATGTTTTTAAATTGCTCTTTGTTTAGGAAAAAAAAAGTTTCCTAAGCAAAGAACTTTGCATTTGTTTTTGTTAGAGTTCATTCTTTTACTTTCAGCTCATGCTTCCCATCTATCAGGACTGTTAAAATTTTGTTTCAATCCTTTGGGATAGTACCTATCCCTATTTATATCTCTCTTTTACACTACTTGTGTGGTGATGTAATGATACGTACATCATCATGCTTGTACTGGACGCATATGACACTGACCACAGTAAATCGAGACAGAATCCTGCTACAAACGTACCAGCAAGGTTCACATTCACACAACACAGAGAGTGAAATCTAAAACCCTTAATATGATTTGCATGTTATGAGAATTGGATACCAGTCTAGTAATGATTTTTAGGCAATGGCTAAAATGTTTTTTAAATCTGCTGCTTGCATAGAGATCTCCCGACAAGGAGTAAGCAAGCCTGTCAGGGAATGGGATACAAAGAACAACTCTGATTTTAAAAACCTGGTTAAAGAAGCATTTAAAAACCAACTCCCACATCCCAATGTTTGGAAATAGGATTATTCCCTTTGTTCTGCCATGGTGCATAAATTGGCAATAAACTCAGCTACTTGCTGCATTTTCCCAAGGACACTGCAAAGCATGTTTGTGATACAATAAAAAATCACTTTCTGATATTTTTATGAATTGAATCATTTCCCAATCTTAGTTCAAATTAACTAGAAAAGGGTGACAGTCACTATTTCTCTGTTTGGAGAAAGAGAAAGGCTGGATTTGCTCAATACGCTAGGTTAGGGATTTCCAAGCAGTGAGTTGAACAAATGAGGAATGGGAGTGGGTCAAAGTTTTTTTAACCTGATTAGGCCTGAAAAAGGAAGTGGGGAGAAGACCTGCCAAATTTGCTCTGAACTGTGCTGTATTGCAAACGTCTGTCATCCATGCATTAAAACATAACTATTAAGAGAACTATATTTCTTGCCCATCCCTAGCCCCAGTGAAATAATTCGTTTTATTCATGATTTGTTCATTTTTGTTCATGGGGTATTGATATCTGCAGGGAGGGTCAAAAAAGTCAAGAGCAGCATGATTGACGCTTGATCCTTTCGTGCTGCCGGGATCAGCTTGACCCTTCCCCCTGTGGATCCTGCCATCATGGATGGATGACATGTGCTAGATTGACATGTGATTGGTTCATTGCAAATATTCTGCCAATTTAACCCTTGAGATTAATTGGCAGTTCAGGGTGTTAAACAAATCCAGGCACTTTGATTAATTCAGCAAACCACAGTTGGGTTGATTACATCTTTGCATATTGTAGCATGGCACTGTTATTTTGGGCCACTGCAAATCCCATTCTTTATTTGTGTCTTGTGGCAGACCGATGCTCTTAATCAGTGTTTTTCAACCTTGGCAACTTGAAGATGTGTGGACTTCAACTCCCAGAATTCCCCAGTCACCACGGTTGAGAAACACTGCTCTTAACCATCAATGGAAACCACATCCTTTGACGGCTAGCAGGAAGGAAGAAGTGCTTGCAAGGCTTAAGCATGGCACCTTCACCACTTTTTCATAGTAAAGCATGAGGTGCAAAGCACCCTGCGCATAGGCGCTGTAAAGCAAGAGTTGCTTAATCCTGTATCGCCACTTCTTTGGAGTTTCCAATCTCATTTGGAACACAAGCATAACATCCCCCAAATGTTAAGGTGTCTGAGTTGATAGCATCACACGGACAGTCCGCATCTTTCCAGCAATGTACGCCTCCCAACGTTATTTCAAAGCACGGTGGCTCTCTGTGTCCTCTCCAGCCCTGACAGAGCAAAACTTTTGATATATAAAATCCAAATTAGCAGTTTTGAACACGTTGACGTTGAGCTGGTTTTGCTACCACTGTTGCTTTACCACTGCGATGCTTTCTCCTTTTAAAGTGAAATAATTACTCTTAGGCACTAGAGATAATACTTGCACTGAGTTAATGAGCTTGGGGTAATAATTGTACTGAGGTTGTTATTCCTTCAGGATATCAATGCCCTTTTTATCTCCTAGACCACCTGAAGTGATTTGAGCATTTGCAAAAACTAAGTATTGTTCACTGCTAGGGTATTTTTTATTAACAACTAGGCAACCTTGTGACCCGTTGGGTCATCCTTTGAGAGAAAGGTAGTGCAGTCTGATGTGACCAGAATGAAATTTTAGAAAGAAAGAAATTTTCTAGAAAGAAATTTCTTTAGAAAGAAATTTTAGGCTGACCACCCCAATGCTGGACGGTCCCATCATCATCTAAGAAGAATATATATCATAAACAGGAAAATAATTGTAGTGGCAAACAAACGTCAAAAATAAGTCAATAATTACTTACCTAAACAGATAAACAGAATAACCACAGGTGGGCCAAAAAGCAGTGGGAGCGACTTCTGACTTCCTGCTGGCTTCCCCAGTGACTTCGCTTGTGGGAAGCTGGCAGGGAGCATCAGAAATCATGATCACGCAACTGTGGGGATGCGGCCTCGGCCAAAACTTTTCAAATAAAACTGACTTGAACTTCATGGAAATTTCAATTCCACAGGAGTAATGGGTCCCGGATTTTTCATGCATTCTTTAAGTTAGCGGATTTTAGGTACCTGGATTCAAAAATTGTTGCAGTAATAATGCACCGTTTGGGCTAACTTGAGGGTACAAACAGACAAACATGAACACAACGAGAGTTTTAGTAGTATATAGAGTCGCTTGGTGTGAGATGGGTGCCTATATAAATGTGATATATAAATAAATAAAATATAGATAGATGAGACGACACCTGACTTTTTCCTTCCAAACCAGCAAGTCAGCCAGCATCCCACGTTTTGCTGTCTTTTCCCCATTACTAACCAAAAAGAGGTCCATGCAACTTAGCTGAAAAGAAATGCTTTAATACAAAAGGCACAAATGATGGAGGGGAGAATGACTGTTCTTCCATCTTCCCTCATCACATATGGAGAAGGTCATCTGGGTACATTAAGGCAATAAATCAGATTCCCTCATCCCAGGCTGCTCTCTGTCCGTGGGTGTCCCTTGGCATTTGCAGAGGCCCAAAAAACACAGTAAAGGGGAGAAACCCTAAATGGAAGTTATACAGATAAAAAAGGAATTAGGTATGCTTGACACCCTTTCACATTGGTGATTAAAAGGGCAGAATTAAGTCTCCCTCCTACCACCGCATTGCACATTATAAAGGGGAATTATAAAATGAATCCCAGAGAAACAGACCGTGAGCAGGCAGTAGTGCCCTTAATACCATAAACGCGTAAACCTCCCAATTAGCTTTTTTGAAAAGGCCAAATCATGAGAGATTCCAAACAAGAATGAATGAGACTTCGGTGTTACCTAATAGTTGAAATTGGCACTCTCATGACATTTCGGCCTTAATTTGCGGTTGTGTGAGATTACCCAGCAACACTCTAGGCCTGAAGTAAAGGATGGGGAGGGTGGGTGGGGGGTCTTGACTGGCAAATAGGGTATCGTATTAGCTGGCGACAGATGTAGAGGAGAAAGATTTAAGAAGGGCTATTCAAGATCCAAAGAGAAAACACGGAGTGTGGTTTACAAGCAAACATAGTCCTCTTCTCTTTCGTGGGGAAGGGGAACAACAATACATGAGGCCTAGCTTTAAAATTCTTGAGACGGTCCTCATCTTTGGTGAATGGATCTAGGACGGCTGTGGGGTGCCTCCTTACAAGCATTGTGCATCAATTCAGAAGACAAGGTGGACGTTCTTAGCCTCCCCTGAAGCACAGAAGGATCCTCCCTGAGGATGCTGTACATCCAGCTTGAGGCTCACTATCCCAGTTAAATGGATCCAGAATGACATAAAAATGGTTGCAAAGCCCTTCAGAGCTGTATTATGAATTTGTTCGGAGGACAAGTGGAAATTCTAGTCTTGATCAAAGGGTCGAAGCAGCTTGAAGGCACCGGATATCCAGCTTGAGACGAGCTGCCCTGCTAAGGACTGTGGAGAGGAGCAACTGAAGACCAGATTTCCATCTTGGATGGTTTGTTCTTCCTGGCTGCCCTGGAGTGCCCAGAACTTAAGGCAACATGGTGAAAGAGAAAAGCAACCTTCCCGGAACAAGAACCACCTCCCGAGGCAAAGCTGGTGATGAGAACTTGCAGGGGCTCAAAATTTTGCCACATCCTGCGATTGTTTTCCTCTGCATAGGAGATTAAAGGCCTTGGAAGCTTTCCACCAGCAGTGGAATGACAAGGACAGCTTCCCTGCCCAGGAAGGAGGCCATGTGGCAGGTGGTGTGGTCACAGGTCTGTGGCAGGTCCCCAGTCATAACCATAGTCCTGGTCTGACTCTGAGTCATAAGACTGAGCATGGGTGAACTTTTTCCGAAGGGCTTCGTGTTCATATTCCCTGGCAAAGAGATGGCAGAGTTGTAAATTAAGCGAAGTAATTTCTATGTAGCTCTGGAGATTCCCCTCAACCTTACGATTTTTGGGAAGGGGAAAATTCTTCACATAGCAAGGGAGAGCCTTCCTAATAGGCCTTTAGATATTTGACTGGAATTTGTCTCCTTGAGAATGTATACCATATTTTAGAACCCCAAATGTAAACCTATAATGCACTGGATGTGTTCACACAACGTTTAACCCAATTAGCCACCAACCCAGGCAAATCTAGCAGTTTGGGCAACTCATTCTCAGACTAACTGGGTCAAATGACACTGGAATAAAGTCTCTGCCCACTTTCGGTAGGAAAGTGCTATTTTTATTTAATTATTTATTGAACAAATTTATACAGGTAGTCCTTGACTTACGACAGCAACTGGGACTGGAATTTCCGTCGCTAAGTTTATATTGCGATTATAAAGCGCAACTGCATCGCTTAGCGACAGCAATCCCTGCAATCCCGGTTGCTGTCATTAACCAAATCCCATGGTTGTTAGGCAAAGCAACTTCCTGCCGGCTTTCCACAACCAAGTTAGGGGGGAGGCGGGCAGGAAGTTGCAAGTCCCAGGCGGCTCTCAAGCAGGCTGGCAGGCAAGTAAGTGGCTACTGCCGGGTAGGGGAGGGAGTAAGGATGGGCGTGAGGGTGTGCAGGGTGTGGGAGAGGCATGGTGAGGGTTGGGGAGGGTGCACGAAGGGGTGAAGGAGGCATGGCAAGGCTCAGGGAGGGCGTGCAGGGGTACACGAGTGGCCAGCACAGTGTGCGCACAGAGGGTCTGGGGGAGATACGCAGGTAGGGGAGACCAGCAACTTGCGACTTTCCCTGCCAGCTTCCCCATTGACTTTCTGGGGAAGCTGGCAGGGAAGGTCACAAATGGTGATGACATGATTATGGGGTGCTGCGACTGGTCATAAGTGTGAGCCAGTTGCCAAGCAGCCAGATTGTGATCACGTGACCGCTCAGACCAAGCTCAGAGAGCACCAAGGACTGCACAGTTCAACCCTGAGCTACAGATATTCTCTTCTACTGGATAATACTTTTTGTACTTTGATAAAACTCGAGCTGGGCCGGCCGATGCCTCCTTTTTGCTCATGTAATACTGTTTTATTTTGCTTATTTATACAATTTGATGCCGCCCGACTCCAAAGAACTCTGGACAACTCACAATATCCCAAACAGTATAAAACAATGTGACAGAAAGAATGGACAAGAAAACCTGACTGGGACAAAGACAAAGAAAGGAGCGTAAGGCAGTGGACCGGGCAAACCCCAAAACGTTCCATCAACAACTAATATCCAGCAAAAGGAGCACCAATCACCCTGGTCCATGAAAGCACATCAGTACAGAAGCAGGAGTACTGACTGGCTGAATGTCATAAACAGCAGGGCATGATGGACTGAGGTCGCATTTTAGGCTATCGATGTACATGGGGTCTACATGGGGCTGTCCTTGAAGACTACCTGGAAGCTTCAACAGTTCCACCACAGTTGCCTCATGGAGCGATGGGGACTTCTAGATTTCCCCAGGCAATATCTCCCCTGCAAGAGTTGCACTGGTTATCGCGTTCTTTCCAGGTATAATTCAGACTCTACCACACACATGGACAGGCTGACTGCAATCTGACTGCAGCTGCAACCTTGAGAAAATTCCTCCCTTCCCATCGCAAAGCTTCAAAGGAGAGGCTTACAATAGCTACCTGATATCATAGTTGCTCTGCCACTGTCCTTGGGGTTGGTGATCACCATCATGCTGTAAGACAGGGAGAAAAAAATAATATATTAGACATAAGTGATGTGGGCTTAAGATCACTTTACTTAATTCTCAAACTGTGGGTTGTGACCTCAGCCCTGGGAGGAGGAGGAAGAAGAAGAAGATGAAGGAGGAGGAGGGGGGAGGAGGAGGAGGAGGAGGAGGAGGATTACACTTGTATGCCACCTGACTCGAAGGCAGAAAAACAAATAAAGAGGGCTGAATGATGGGCTAGACTACATGATCTTTAGGATCCCTCCCAAAGCCAGGAGGCTGACTCTCCTCACCAGGTCAATGGGGTAGGCCAAAGCAGCTGCCACACGCTCATTCAGCTCCCGATCCAGGCTTTGCTCTGCTGGCTCTGAAGAACGGCTCAGGGCTGCCTCCTGATAGGGCTCCTCTAGCTCCTGGTCCGTATAAGGTTCTCCCTCCGCGTCTGTTTCCTCATAGTCACTGTTGGCCCGGCTGTCACAAGTCAGGTCACCAAGACTGATGGCCGAGGTCTGGTTTAGTATGTCCAGGCTCTCCTCAGCTGAAGCATCCACCTGAAGAAAAAGGGGTGGAAAATTACAGAGTAGATAGCAGACAGATATTTGGGGGCTGGGGAGGGTGGGAAGGAAGGAACGTGTACTAAGACCAGATCTTGTGGAAGACTGGTTTGCAACAGACTTTATTTGGAAGATGTCGGTCCTGACCCATCAGCTAAAATGTTTTCCTGGAAAGGAAAACTTTCCTTAGAAAGTTTTAGACACACTAATCAAAGACGCCCAATAAAATAGAATGATTCATGTCTCATGTTAAAAAAAACCAAAAAATGAAAAAGAAAGTCTACACAGAAAACTTCCCTTACTTAAAAAATAAATAACTTGGATTTTATTTTTATTTTTTTAAACTTCCTTTGGGGCTAAAGAGCTAACATGTTGCAGAGCCACCAGATCTGGGCTGCAATCCAGATTTTAAAGATATATTACTGGAGCCTTCCACATTCTGGAACCCTCCAGATGCTGGCTTCAAATTGTTTCTTAAGTTGCAGTTCTTATGATTCCAGAGAGCACCAGGATGGGGAAAGCTGCCTTGCTGCCTACAAGTACGAACTGGGTTAAAATCTCACTCCACCACAATTGTATCCACCCACCTGCTCTTCCGTCATCCAGACAGGGCGGGCCTGCTGAATCTGGACAATGTCCTTCAGGGTCTGGTACCAGCTGTTGGACCCTCCGGCGAGGCTGATGGTGGCCGTGAAGAGGTGGCTGCAATACTTCCGCATCTTGTTGGCCTGTGCAAAGAGGCGCCGCGAACTCTTCTTGGAATCTGGCGCCAGCCACTGCCTCATGGCCTTGATTCCTTGCCGGCTGTCCGGCTCACAGAAGACCACAATGGGGAAATACTGCACGTAGTTGAGACGCTCCACAGCGGCTGGTGTGATGTCTAGCAGCGCATGCTTATCCTGTTAAAAGGAGCACAGTGCATGGGAAATCAGGAAGGTGTTTTGTCCATCAACCCAGGACTGTTTAAGATTCCCAGGCACAGAAATGCTCTTCGCCGACAGACTGAATGCAACATCTCCTGCACGTGCAACAGATGCTTTGTCAGCACAGAGATTATATCGGCAGAGGAACGCAAGAATCATTAGCACAGTGTTGTCCAAACTTGGCCACTTTAAGATGAGTGGACTTCAACTCCCAGAATTCCCCAGCCAGCGTGGGTGGCTG